GCCGAAGTTTCGTCCGGTTCGTATACAGTATTTAGGCCAAATTCGTTCCGTGGCTTCTCGACTTTGGTCGTTGGTTTGCGACTAGAGAACGATTTGAAGCTGAATCTTCGGCCTATAGATGAGCCGAAAGATGCGATGCTGGCACTGCTGGCACTGCTGGTCTTCGCAGTTTTCCGCTTTTCGATGCTCTTATCGATGTCGGGGAGATCGCTGACATCCTGTAACATTGAATCAGTCGTTCATGTGAGACTAAAAGCTGTGGGCCTCTTACGTCATCCATCGCATGGACTTGATTAGAGAAAGTCGAGTTATCGTGCTGCCTGGACAAACAATGAGAACAGGTGGGTCTCTGAAGATGTGGAGCTGGAGATGAAAACAGGTCGCTAGAAGGTCAGGCTAGTGTACATGGGGCAATGCAGAGTCAGACTCTTCCCGAAAATGCAACCAATTAACCTATAAAGACAAAACAAGATACGACAGCGGAGTGGAAATGGGTTTCAGCAAACAGCCGCAAAAGCAATGATGTTCCAAGCCACAGCCTGGTAGTGGGTCAGACCAATTGGTCAGCGCAACGATGTGTTGTCGCCTTCCTAATCGCGTGCAATCGAGGCGATACGAATGCGCATGAGTGGCGTGTGCCGGTGAGCGCCTGCAGAGTAGAGGACATTGGGTGGCAGCTGGGCAGCCATTCCTTCTCACCCGCATCCTGCATCCCTCACTGGCCAACCAATCGGGTTTAAAGCTCTATGTAACACCCGCTCTGTGGAACCTCGCCCCAAATAACGACCCCGCCGATGCCCCTCTTCATCCAGATTTAATACCTACTCAACCTTGTAAGGCCAAATCTTCTAGTCAGTGCCAGCCTTAAAACTATTGTCGACCCACATAGACCATCTCGAACTCGCTTCAAAGCATGACGGAAATTACTTGGATACCAGAGCCAACGAAACAACTTACGTCGCAGGCTATTGATGTAGACCAAGCCATCGTTGAACGTAAGTAAATCTCCCGAGTGCTGACAAGAACTGGACTGATCGCCACCAAGAGTTACCGCCGGGATGCAAAGTGATGGGAGCAAAATCACACGGCGCTAGCTTCTGGACACGCACTGCGCGTATCGATGTTCAACTAGCCGATGGAACCCCCAAGAAGTATTTCCTGAAGGTCTCCAGTGGGGAATTAGGCATGAGTATGCTAAGAGGAGAATACTATGGCGTCAAAACCTTGCATGAGTACACTCCAGGTACGCGACCTAGGTAGATGAACACTGACACAGCTCTGACTTTGTACATCGGTCTTTAGAAGGAATCCCACGTGCCATTGCTTGGGGTACATACGTATCTGATCCAAGCAAGCACTTCTATCTCGCTGAATTTATGGAGATGATCGAAGATCTCCCGGACATTCGTAAATTCTCTGCCATGCTTGCTAAACTCCATCACGACAGCATGATGGACCCGAAAGCTCCGACGAAGTTCGGTTACCATGTCATGACCCACGAAGGAAGTATGTATCAGGATCTGACATGGAGTGAGACATGGGAGGAGCTCTACAGCCGCCGCTTTCAGTCCTTTGTCGACCAGGAGTTGGTATCGCAGGGCCCAAGTGAAGAGATTGAAAGACTGGTACTTGGTCTCAAAGAGAAGGTCATTCCTCGCCTTCTTCGACCCTTGAACACTCATGGTCGAAGTCTCAAACCCGTTGCACTCCATGGCAACATTTGGTGCGGTAACATGGGTACCAATGCAGCTACCGGTGACCCAGTATACTTTGACCCATCTGTATTTTGGGGTCATAATGAATGTAAGCAGCTACTCTATTGTTGAAGTTGTACTGGGACTGACGAGGTGATTTTCGATAAAAAAAGACGATGTCGGTAGTATGGCCACCCCGCGCTACAAGCTCGGCCGGCAGTGGATGCGAGAATATCACAAGTTCTTTCCGATAACAGAACCCGAAGATGACTACGAGGATCGCAACCTTCTTTATGCTATGTAAGCAAACCAGCCAAGACCAATGTCTTTGCCGCTAACGTAACGAAGAAACGGACACTTTTGCGCCTCAGCCTTGTACTCGGACAACAGCAACTTTCGAAAGATGTACGCACCGACTATTCTTACCACGCACGGAATCACTGATATAAAGCAGGGCCATTGCGGATATGCAGCGAATTCTGGAAAAGTATCCGAACGGGTATCAGGGAGAATGAGACATGTGTTCGTAATTTCCGGCCTGTACAAACCAATGGCTGAAGACTTCCCATTTCTGCACTAAGTGTGACTTTGCATCTTGCCTAGTGAATCGTCAACCCATTCCGGGCCAGTCTCCACCTTCGTCCAAATCTTAGCTCGATGAAGTAAAAGAAACCGGCAATGAGGCAAAACGAACTCATGATAACGAAGGTCCAGCCAAAACCTATAGAATCTATGAGGTATTGGAGAACGGCTATCATGACGGTAGAAAGGGCACAACGGACGATATTGGACGAAGCCTGAGCCGTTGCTGGCATGTCTTGATTGATATCAACCAGTAGAGTGTTGTTGATCTAAGACAGTTAGCGATGGGCTATCATGAACTGTAGCTGAGGGCTTTTACGTTGAAGCAAGTCTGGATAGAAAGGCCCGCAAAGAAAAGGCAGATCAGAGGTCCTGCAAGGTGCTAAGGCGTGTCAGCCAACGAATGAAACCCTTCGGGACACCACTCTGCTCACTAGACGCTCATTGACCAGCCAGCCATAGACCAAGATGGAGGCAAAAGCACAAAAGACGGGCGCGAATGCGCTCCTCATACGAGCTTCTTCAATGGGAAAATTCAACAAATCATCCCCAGACATTTTAGTCACGGGCAAGCCATGGGCCTTCGCTACAATACGATAGTCTCGGTCTATCCACTTGCTGGAGATCAAAGTCGCAAGAATCGCGCCGACACCAAATGGAAGACATGACAGGCCGACTTGCCATTCTTTGAGATGGTAGACCTGCATAAAGGTTGTCGACAGTGATGTGTGAATGCAGCAGTAAACAGTGTACAAGAAACTTCCAGGCATAATGCTTACAGCCACGTCTTTGCGTGACAATACGCGAAGACTCATGATTGGATTCGGTATTCTCTTGACTTGAAGGGGTGGGGGTGGAGTACTCGGGCCGCGCTGGCCGTCCCATGGCCGCATGATACCTCTGATGACAGGCTCCAATAGCTTTGAAGGTTTGATACCGCCGTTCCCGATGATGCTCCGATTGGTCTCCGGTAAGGCGAGTAATAGTGTGACCAAACAAAAGCCGGACACGATGGCTAGAAATCCGAATATCCATCTCCAACCAGGACCGGAGGCAAATGCGCCACCTATGACCGGGCCCAGGCTTGGCGCGGTGGTGATCCTATCGAGTGTCAAAAGAAGCTGATCTAGAGTGTGACGCTGTGTAGCGATTTCACTCACCCAAATGAAACAGCAGATACAAAGGCCCCCCTCTCACTTGGTGCTGAGATGTCGGCGATAACACCATATGAGATGGAGAAAGCGCCTGATTTTGGTTCACAGTTGTCAGCTTGCTGCACATTCATGCTCGTCAAGAACCTGGCGGGGGCCACATGCCAGATATCCCTGCACTTTGCACCATGCGTAGCAGTAAGAGTGCCACAGCTGAGTGTTGCATTGCAAGCCCAACGTTCGCGGCGACATACAGCAGAAGGGTGACTGCGTAAACGGGTCGGCGTCCAAACATGTCAGCTGCATCTCCGACAACCGCGGGAGCGACGGCAGATACGACCAAGTAGGACGTGACGGTAAGGTTGATCATCGTAATCGACGAGTCCAGATCCTTGGCAACCATCGGAAGGGCAGGGTAATAAATGAAACTGCTCAGAGTAGAGAACCAGGCTGCCAGGGTGATCATAGCAACAATTCCGTATCGTTCGTTCTTTGTGAAAAGCGAGTATGGCACCGGTGAGTCTGCAGCTGACTCGTGCGGGTTCTGGTTTACTCCTGGTTTGTCTTGCCCGTCCGCTTCTCGGTTATCCGTATTACTTGGAGAAAACATGACGGTTGAAAAGAGAAGCTGAAGTTGATCCGTTGGGTTGAACAAGTCTGGATTCGAATGAGGTTGGTAGATCGCAGTTGGAAATCGATGACTATGCGACGTGTTTGAGAGTTAGGGTCGAGTACACCTAGGCAGTTTGCAGCTTCCGAGATTGGCTGCTCCCTGTGTAAGCTGCACGAGGGAGGTTTGAACCAAACAAATAGTGTGTCGATACCTAGTGCTTCAAACCCGCGGGCAGGTGGCACAGAAGCGGGGTTTGCAAACCTCAACCAATAGCAGTACGTGACATCGCTGACGCTGTGCATACTCGCACATTTGATTCACCGGAAAATGTACGTTCTTGATCTCGCAAACGCCTGCGCGACCTGCCCAGTGCTCACTCCACAAATACAGATTGGCGTCCGCAGTGGATACCCCACTCTTGCTGGCATGTCGACCCACCAGCTCGAACCACTCTGATGCCGCCCGCTTATTGGGAATTGCAAAGCGCGCCGAAAATCCATCAAAGCGACGTCGCGCTTGATGACAACATCATCACAGGTAAGTCTACTTCCTCTCCGATGACGAGAGTTTCCCCTGGCGCTGTGGGGGCTGACACACCTGGGTACACTCCAGTACTGCCATCAAAGGCGAAAACTCAAATGTATCTGGGTCATGGCGCGAGCAATTGAAATACAGCAGCCCGTGCAGTTGTCGATATAGGTGTGAAAGAAGAGTCCTACTTTGTTAAACTGAGTTGTGGTACTGGACCGCCACTGCGCTATGCTCAACGCGATGTAGTCACAAGGCGACGCGACTGGTAGCGAATTGTTCCACGGTGAGTTCGAGAGGAGAAAGATGATCAACGATCTTGTCCCAAACTTTTCATCGAAACCTCTCTCGTAGGGTAAACGCAAGAACTGTGCAGTTGAACCAGCACTACATGTACGACTCGAATGTCATCAGCATAAGGTCTTCCAACTCCTATTGCCACGCGTAGTGCTCGTTGTTCAGCCACAATGGCCTCTCGTCACTGACACCACCATCTGCATCGTACCAAAGAAGGCTAGCAATACTGTCGTTCTTCCGTTCTACAACCTCGAAATCTAGACCACTTTGAGCAAGTATGTCTAGAGCCAAGGGTGTAGGATCCCAAAGCTTGACGACATCGAGTTTCCATTCTTTGGCTTCGGCCTGGGCTGCCTGCAAAACCACCCGAAGGTATACTGCCTGCTGCTCGTACATGGCAGGCTCAGGCAGTTTTGCTGCATCGGAAGATAGCCTTGTTGCAGTCTCATCGACCTCCATCACTAGCCGAAGTATGTATAGCACGTTGCGTGACGTACTTGCGTCAGGATGACTGTAGTATCGATGCGTCCAAAGTGCCCAGACTTGGCTGCCGGGCGGGCCAGCTATCGCTCCTTTCGCATTGGGTATCCGGTCAAAGAGGTGTTTCGTCGCAAACACCTCTTTGGATGTGTGCCAGAGCATATGGTCAAGATCTGGGATGATCGTAAAACGAGTTTTCGCCTCTTGCGTGGGTATTGCCATGCGGGACCGAGCCAAGTCTTCGTCCCGCTTGCACAGATTTCTTATCTCTTCCTCGATAACTGGTGTAGTCGGCGAAGGCCACGCGATGGCGCAGGGTTGCAGCTCGATGTGCGAATTGGTGGAGTTTGGGAGCCAGCCTAGTTTCGCATAGAATTCTTTCCCAATGTCGGAATACAGCGTGCTTCCTACACATGGATATCCTTCTGCTTGCCACGTATGCAAGGTCCTCGCCAATTCACGCATCATGCGCGCCGCATACCCTCGGCCGCGGTACTCGCTCGGGGAGAAGACGCTGGCCACGCCATGCACAATGTTCTCGCTGATAGTACCGCTGGTATCGCTCGTGAGTGATCGCTTGCAGAAGCCCTCGCAAGAACACAAGATTTGACGTTCGTTGGGAGCTTGATCTTTGTGAACCAAGATCCATGCTGTCATGCCTCCATCCTGGGCTAAAGGAACCGTAGCGAGGAATTGTCCTTCTTCTAAGTATTTCGCAAGTGGAAGCGAGTCTTTCCATTCGGTGGATGTATTCGTGGAGATTGTCGTGCACTCTTCTTCGGTAGGGTGCCGGATGACGAGGTGGGGGCTATGCGAAGTCGGCAGGTCTTCTCTCGAGAGGTCGGCCATGGTACTTCGTAGTGCCTCGTTTATGCGCGATGCGGAAGATGCAGTTGTGTAGCGTGTTAGTATGGTTTACTGGACATGCACTTACGATGTATGAGGGATGCCTTGAGTGCGGGGCTTTCAGCTACATCCATGTCCAAGGCCATACCTAGATACGTATGGCCGAGAGCGACGATGGCCGAATAATGGGATCGGAGCAGGCCACGTATTCCATACTGAAGCACCACCTAGCGTCGCAGCATGAAGTGTGGGTGATGATTCTGGTCGCGCGTATAGGACGTGTCTTACGAGGGGACTGTGGGGCACCTTGGCCGCGCCTGGAGTTGAGACGCGTGACTGACGCGCTAAACAAGCACGTGATCAACGTCATCTTCAGGGTCCTGCGCGTGTTTCCTGCCGCGTGCGGCGCATGCCCGTGCCGCACAAAGACACCCACGAGTGCGATCCTCTCCTCAACGACACCCTCCCTTTTCAAGCGCCACATCATGCGACCATCATGCGCAATGCCTGCGTAGTACTGAGACAGCATTGCTCTTGTCAAGACGCCATTACCCAGCACCTTCGCATAGGAAGCACACATCGGCGCGCAAGGCTGTGCAACGGCTACATTCGTAGCGATAGAGGTCTTGGGACAACTGAATGTACTAGCAGTATATTCCACATCATGTTTGCTAACGTGTAGCATCTAGTCAGCCCTGTCGTCCTCTTTACTTGCTAGTCGATCCCCATTATACCTGCACCCCAAACCGACGACCGCAGTATACCCCATTTAAGCGCTCCTCACCGCAATAGTACGCCACTGGTGACCCCGCACCAGCAGCAGAACCCGGCACGAGCCAGTACACATCCTACACCCATGTTGTCGTCTACGACCCTTCGATCTATAGAGCCCAGCCCATGGCAACGCGGTTATCTACATTCCAAGTCCTCAACATTGTACATACGACCATAGGATCTTGACAACCAGCGCTTCCCGTTCGCTCAGCGGTACTTAAGCAAGATACCGGCCAGCTAGTAGCTTCGTGGGTGACCAGAAGCGAATCCTGGCTGTTGTATGTTTTTGCTCTTCTTTTTGCATCTAGGATCATGCAGCGCCAAGACGACACGGCTCCATGCCCATTTGCCTCACCTTTTTTTTTAGCTTAGGTGCGGCTACTTGCATGCATTGTGTCACAAATGTCACGAGCACTGCCTCTTCAGCGCTCTGCCTTGTACGCCACAACATCTTATCTGTCGTTTCTAACTGCAAGATGATACTCGGCAGGCGCAAAACCTGTATTCTAGGTGTCACGGCACCTGTAAGACGCGTACCCGATTCTGCCTTCTGAGCTCAACACATTTAAGAGCGCGAAACGTACTTTCACCTTCACTGCTTTCCTCTAGGACCGGCCCATCCAGCTTCCTCATTCATTATTGCGTCATCACATCCACTGCTCTCTTTCGGCGACGCAGGTCTCTTGCCATCAGCCATATTTCAACAGACTGTCATGATCATCCCAAATGCCAACGTCGACGCCGGATCGCTCCCGAATGGAAGCACTCCGCTCAACAACACTTCCCGTAAGTTGTGAACGACTTGTAGCAAAACTCTGGGACTAAGTTGACAGCAACCAATGGCAACACTTCCAATCAGGTGTCCTGGCAGAGCGCTTGCTGGCCTGTTATTGCATGCATGGTTACCGTCATGATGCAAAGCACTGGTCGGGTTCTCGGCGCAAACCACGTATTCAGTGCCGCTCTAAGAGCTTCGCCTTTAGTTTGCGCTTTGGATACAGTGATGATGATCGTCGAATTCGTCTGTCTGATGAATGTTGGCTGCCCGGTTTCTACTGCCGCAAGGCATGTCTGGTATGGTCGATTTGAAGGCGGAAACACTCAATCCACGCTCGACTTACCACTCGCATCGATTCGAGACAACCAGTCTAACTCGGTCTCGAGCAACTCTGGAGTTCCCGTGGAGGACAACATCCCAGAGGATACAGGAATGCCAGATGAGATCAGCAACCATGACACAATTACACCTGCGACCGGGAGCGGAGCTGTTGAAGTTCCTCCAAGGCCGAACACGCCTATTCGGGATCTCCAAATGGCCAACAGCAATTACCTCACGGGATCATCGATTGATCGCAACTGGAGACAAAGCATGTTTGCGTTCACTATCGGGGCGGCTCCACAAGCTTTGAAAGTATTCGCTATGCGTGGTACTCCCCTTACCCAGGTCTTGATGTCGATATACGTCATAGCCTTTCTCGTACCAGAGTTGTTTCGCTTAACAGCTGGACGTGCTGGCGAAGTCGACTTGAGGCCAATGCCTATCGTCGTCCGTACTAGAAGAACTACTGCGGAGATAGCGAAATTTCTATGTGGCTTTGTTGCAATGGCCCCCGTCTTCCCAACCAACATTTTGCTTTTCTATCTCCACATAAGTCTCGCAAGCCAAGTTGCGATGTGCTTCTGTCTCGGCCTCACTCCCATCCTCGACATGTTTATGGCCTCCATACAGTTATCTATGTGGCTTTCAGAGTCTCACGGCCATACATCGCCACTTGCTCGCGTGATGCAGCCGTGGGCCGTGGATTTCCTAGCCTTTAACCGCAAGCTATTCTGCACGCCAAAACAGGTGGTCACCTTAGTTGTCTTCAATCCCCTACGAGAGTCTGAATCCCTCTTGAATGGGCTTTCTCTCCATTTTACGTCGCTGCTTGTAGCGCACATGGTTTTGGTCCCTCTTCTGCCAAATGGGCATATCCTACCAGACGCTCAATTCCCATGGACGTTAATGATGTACGGATTCATGATTTCTTTTCTTCTTAGCTTTGTGGTTTTCTTAATTCCCTTGGTGTCTCTATTTCTCTATGGTGTACTTTTTGCTACTCTGTCATCGAAAATCCCACGAAGACTGACGGGTATTAAGGGTTCGATGGGCGAATTTGCATCTGGATACATAACACTATGTAGTCTTGTCACGGCGTTCTATATGTTCAGTCAATTATGGACGCCAGATGGGACATACAAACCTGCATGGGCGGATTATCTCGGTTGATGTTTACATTGTCAGAATAGTGTCATCAAGAACGGCCACTAAGCAGTAAATATCCAATAAATCGTGGATGTCTAACCATGCTGCTTGCTTCCACCAACATGACATCCATCTTCATTTTCCTTACACTAATTGCCCACTACTCTCCAACCAAACAACGCTCCTCGGATTACCCACACTCATCTCTCCAACGCCCACCGTACTACTCCTTACATCTAGCACAACTATAACACTCTCCCCATAACTCAAATAGTCAATCTCGCAATTCAAGATCTCCGCCTCCGTAGTACTTAACTTCCCCTTCTCCTCCTCCTTCGGCTTAATCTTCGCGCGGATATCCACGTTCGGCAGCAGTGTATTGCCAGACTTAAGCGGAATGAGCATAATAGGCCACTCATGTTCTTCGTCCTCCTTGGCAGTGAAGTGCGCACGTCGTTGACCGGCAACGAGCCAGACTTCAGGATTTGCGTCGATGGTGTAGACGAAGTCAATGGGCTCACTGACTTCGGTGAGGTTGGCGGCGGAGAGGAGACTGGAAGGTGAGGCCCAGCGGCGGGTGTGCGAGATGCGAAGGGTGGTCATGATAGGCTGGCCGACGGTCGCAATTGTGGATTGAGATGAGGATGAAGGCGAGTTCAGAGATAGGGATGCGGTGTGCAGGATGTGGGTCTGAGGGATTGAAACTGTGATGACCATCCGGCGGGGTGGGTTTGGCGATGACGGAGCGGTCGGTTGCTGTATTGTATCGGCAGCATCGTCTTCGGTGAGCAGGATGGTTCGGTGTTTCTATTAAGGTGTTAGCATACACGTTCCACTCGAAGAAGACCAGTACTTACTTCATGCCACTTCTGCAGCCAGGTCTGCGTGTCATCACGAACGACAAGCGGTAAGCTCTCCAGACAGTCCACCCATCCAACCTCCTCGAACGCACCCAGGTCGAGCCTCTGCAGCAATGCGATCTTCTCGTATTGCGATGGCAAAATGTGTTGCTCTAGTTGACTAGCAAAATGGTCGGTAAGCAAACGAGCTAGTCGATGAACTGGACTGTCTTCCACAGCCTCAGCAAACATCACTCGCACTCGTTCAAGGACGTCTTCGTTCAAGCATCGGTACTCAACAGCCAATGACAGACTGCCAGTGGTGGAAATCCGACTTTGTCGCTTCTTGGCAGCGTCCATCGTTTTTTTGGTGACTTTGTATGTCACTGCGACAGGCTGCTTCGGGAAAACATTGACAGCCTCTTTCGGACGCCTTGGCGCATGGACGTCGAATTCTTCTGATCCTTCTAATGCGACATCTAGAAGCGTCAGCGGCACATGATTGGCGGTTTTGATGTTGAACTTCGAAAACAGTGATTTGCTCTTGAAGTGGTCGTGAACGTTGACGTCTAGAGGCAGTTCGACAGGAATAACGAAGGTCGAGGTATACTGGAACTGTCCCTTGGCGGTGAAATAGTCGACGTCGATCTTGACAGTAAGGTCTTGCAATATTGTCTCCATATCGTAAGGCACCTTCAGCGTCGCTGTAGTTTCGGCTGGCATCGCACCAATAGCGATGACTCCCGGCGTTGGCTTACTCTCATCGATCTGGATCTCTCCTGAAGCCACGCTTGCATTTGCGGTTCGCAGCCGTAAACCTGCAGAGGCAGACTTTAGCCGGACTTCTGCGCGCGTAATCTCATTCCAGCCAGCTGAGCACTCGACCTCTATATGCCGCGGCTTGTCGATATGGATGAAGTGAGAGAGATAGATTCGGGCTTGGAAGGATTCACTACGCGGGAAGCACAGTATCCGAGCTTTCTTCGCGGCTTTGAGAGAATGCGCAGAGACCGAAGTGATGATGCCAAGTGGAGTTGTCGCCTCTGCCTTCTGGAAAGGTTCGTGTACGAAGACGATACGCTTTGCTTCGAGGACAACCCTGTCAACCATGTACGGTCCGATCGTATTCACGTTGCAGCCGATCC